GGGAATGCATAAGAGGGAAAACAAAAATGGCTATTTTCAAATATTTAAATAGCTATAAGGTAAAAGAAAGAACCGAGTTATTCTGAGTATTTTCACAGTACAAAATGAGAATTAGTGGGTAAAGTTCTAGAAAAGCAGATTATATTTATATAAAGTAGCTGTTTAATTTTTTTTAGTATGTGAAATTTGATACACAAAGGAATATGTGCAAATGAGGAATCACAATGATGAAATGACTGTGAACACTTTATAATTTTTTTATTGAGATACAATTTACATGTCATAACGTTCACCCTTTAAAGTATATAATACTGTTTAGTATATTCAGAAAGTTGTACAACTATTAGCACTATCTAACTCCAGAGTATTTTCTCATTACCCTCCCCCCCACCAAAAAAAGTCCTTAACGGTTCCTATTAGCAATCACTCTTCATTTCTCTGTCTCCCAGGCCCTGGCAACTACTAATCTACTTTCTGTCTGGCTGTGCCTCTTCTGGAAATTTCATATTACAATATTGTGACCTTTTGTGACTAGCTTCTTTCACTTAGCATGTTTTCAAAGTTCATCCATGTTATTTTTTTAAAGATTTTATTTATTTATTTATTTGAGAGAGAGCATGAGAGGGGGGGAGGGTCAGAGGGAGAAGCAGACTCCCTGCTGAGCAGGAAGTCCTATGTGGGACTCAATCCCAAGACTCCAGGATCATGCCCTGAGCCAAAGGCAGTCACTTAACCAACTGAGCCACCCAGGCACCCCGAAGTTCATCCATGTTATATCATGTATTAGTAGTTCATTCCTTTTTATGATTGAAAGATATGCATTTGTCAAAACCCATAGAACAATACAACACAAAAAAATAAACCATAATGTAACCTATGGACTTCAGTATATCAATACTGTTTCATTAATTATAACAATTATACCACATTAATACCAGATGCTAATAATGAAAGAAACTATATACGGAGAAGGGGAGATAAATGGAAACTCTCTATTATCTGTTCAATTCTGTAAATTTAAAACTATTCTTAAAAAGAACCTTTTATCTTTTAAAGAAAGTCAGGGGCACCTGGGTGGCTCAGTCGGTTGAGCTCCTGACTCTTGATTTCGGTTCAGGTCGTGATCTCAGGGCCCTGGGATCAAGCCCTGAGTCCAGCTCCCTGCTCAAGGGGAAGTCAGCTTGTCCCTCTCCCTCTGCCCCTCCCCCTGCTCACGTATGTTCTCTCTCTCTCTAAAATAAACAAATAAATCTTTAAAAAGAAATAAAAGAAAGTCAGATGAGCACATTTTTAAAAAAATGAATAGATAAATAACAACCTAGGAGCAAACTAGTGTACTATATACTGTATTCTTACAAAATGGTAAGCTAGAGAAAAGAAGATATTATTAAGAAAATTATAAGGAAGAGAAAATACATTTACAGTACTGAACTGTAAAGAATCTGCTATAAGTGAACCTCTGCAGTTCAAACCCATGTTGTCCAAGGGTCAACTGATATATGCTACATGATCCCATTTATATGAAATTCCTAAATAGGTGAAACTAATCTAAGAGGGAAAGAAGTCAAAACTCCTAGAGAAGTGGGATGGGCATTTACTGGGAAAGAGCATTAGGGAACTTTGTGGGATGATGGTAATCCTCCATATCTTGTTAAGAGTTTGTATTTGTCAAAAGTCAATAAAGGTTGGGCTCCCTGCTCGGCAGGGAGCCTGCTTCTCCCTCTGACCCTCACCCCTCTCATGTGCTCTCTGTCTCTCTCATTCTCTCTGTCTCAAATAAATAAATAAAATCTTTAAAAAAAAAAAAAAGTCAATAAAGGCAAACAAGATTTGTGTTTCTCGATACATGTAAATTTTACTCAAAATGGAAAAAAGGCAAATAAATAATGAACTCTGTCTAGTTAATGAAAAACATGACAAAGTAGGGGGAAATGCACTGAGGTCAGCAATTTACTTTGAAGTATATGAAATTGATGGATAGATAGAAGGATGGCTAGATGGAGAGACAAGTGATAAAGCAAATAGAGTAAAATGTTAACGGCAGAATCTAGATAGTAGGTATGTGTGCATTCACATTAAAATTATCTCCATTTTGGGGCATCTGGGTGGCTCAGTCAATTAAGTGACCGACTCTTGAATTTCAGCTCGGATGAGCCCTGTATCGGGATCCGTGCTCAGCACAGAATCTGCTTGAGGATTCTCTCCCTCTCCCTCTGCCCCACCCCCTGCTCGCGCTCTCTCTCTGTCTCTAAAAATAAATAAATAAATCGGGGCACCTGAGTGGCTCAGTCATTAAGCATCTGCCTTCGGCTAGGTCATGATCCCAGGGTCCTGGGATCGAGCCCCACATCAGGCTCCCTGCTCCGCGGGAGGCCTGCTTCTCCCTCTCCCACTCCCCCTGCTTGTGTTCCCCCTCTGCTGTGTCTCTCTCTGTCAAATAAATAAATAATAATTTAAAAATCTTAAAAAAATAAATAAATCTTTTTAAAAATAATAAACTTAAAATAATTTCCATTTTTACAGATATTTGGAAATTCCCATAGTAAAATATTGTAAAAAATAAAAATAACAACTGAAAAAATGTCAGGTGCCTGCTGCATCCAAAGATATTTATAGTGTCAACCAAAAAGATTACAACAGCATCCCTATTTCTTTGTAATGTGAGAATCTTGTTCAGCTCATATCCACTCTGGCAGTTATTACTCCTCCTATAAAAAAGTGTTATTATGAAACCTTGCTGCATATGAAACTTCCTTCTGGGGCGCCTGGGTGGCTCAGTCGATTAAGTGTCTGCCTTCGGCTCAGGTCTGATTCCAGGGTCCTGGGATTGAGCCCCACATCGGGCTCCCTGCTCCGCGGGGAGCCTACTTCTCCCTCTGCCTCCTGCTCCCCCTGCTTGTGCTCTTTCTCTCTCTCTCTGGCAAATAAATAAATAAAATCTTAAAAAAAAAAAAAAGATCGAAAACTTCCTTCTGCTGTAACAGGCCTCAGGGGCAGTAGTGTGAAAAGCAGAGACACACACAAGCAGATCAGGAAGCACTCAATGAGACCAGAAGCAGAAAGCTACAGTAACATGCAAACAGAGAGAAGTCACAGGCTGATCTCAAGTATTTCCAAGGCATACATGGCGTTACCATTTCCTGGGGACTTCTACTGGATCTTCACAACAGTCTTGTGAAGCAGGGAAAACTCTTTAAGATACCAAACTCAGGACAACCTTCCCCATTGAAGGTAGGCCCTAGACCTTCAAAAGATCTCCTACCACAACAAAATGCTGACCACTAGATTATTCTGAACTTAGTGAATGAATGATTCACCATTCCATAGACACATCATGAATGTTTGCAGCAGTCTAAAATCTCATTGCTTATTCTCACCTACTTTGTATTCTTTTTTTTTAAAGAATATTCCACACTCATGTATACTTTCTATTTATGTATGTATGTATATATTTACTTAAAGTAAGCTCCATGCCCAAAGTGGGGCTTGAACTCACTACCCCAAGATCAAGAATCACATGTTCTATTGACTGAGCCAGCCAGGTGCTCCATCAGCTACTTTACATTTTTAATTCCCAACTTTACCCTATTCTAAGTCCTTGGTTTTATGCCCTACTGAGATCCTGTCTCTGGTACCTTGGAGTTAGTATTTTTGTGTCCATGGTGACTCAACTTTTTTTAAAGGATTTTGGCTTTGACTTGCCTGCCTGTCTCTTTCTGTCTAGACTTTTGGGATTGGACCCCACCCTATTTTGGCCCCTAGAAGCTAACTCCTGAAATCAGCTGGAAGAGTCCCACTCACCTCTACTCCTCATAAATGGGAAAGTCTGGATCCACCATTGGTCATCTAGCTCCTTTGCTATGCTTCGTCATCTGTCCCTCCTAGCTCTGTTCTTAGATTGACAACTCAGACTTCAGTTGTCCCTATCCTTCTTCTAATTTGCATTCTCCAGCTCCTGACGTCTTCCAAGAACTGACTCCTTAGTACCTAATCTTGACAAGTATCTTATTAACAGCTTTGCTCCTCATTTCTCAGCACCATCAGATAGGAAGACTCAGCTTCCATAAGTCAGACAGTGGGCAAATAAGGCAAATTTATATTATTTATTCTCATTCAGGAGAAACACATTCAGAAAGATCTAATAATTTTCCTGTGGTTCCATGGCAAGTAAGCTGCAGATATGTAATTTGAACCCAATATTCTAATTCCACTATTCCTTCCAGGTTTTGTAAAGTACCACAGTCATTCAGAAACATTATAGTTATGATAGTATTTATCATGATCATCTATAATAATTATATGTATTGACCATCTACCTCTGTGCTCTCATTTAACCTCACCACAATCCTGTGAAGCCTCTTGATGCTTGACACAGAGTAGACACTCAGTAAACATCACTGACTGATGAATGAACAAATGGACAAATAAAATTTTTCACAGTAGTTATTATCTGCATCTACAGATGCGAAAACTAAGGCTCACACTTTTGCCAAGGTCACACATCTAGATGTTGATTTGAAACCAGATCAGTCTGTCTCCAGAATCTATACATTTTCTAGTAATTCACATAGCACTTCACTCCCAATCATAAAAGAATATGGTGTTGGGGCCCTTGGATGGCACAGTTGGTTAAGCATCCGACTCTTGATTTCAGCTCAGGTCACTATCTCAGGTTTGTGGGATCGAGCCCCACATCAAGCTCTGCACTCAGCGCACAGTCTGCTTGAGATTCTCTCTCTCCCTCTCCCTCGGCCCCTCCTCCCCTCTCTAAAATAAATAAATCTCAAAAAAAAAAAGGGAATATGGTGTCAAACATCTCAACAGAAATCATCTTAAGGAAGTTCTCAACTATTATATTTTTACTATAGAAAATAGAAATGCAATTCAGTTCCTTATTATCAACAGAATAAAGAAGGGAACTTTTGTGATCTTCTCAAAAGCAGATATAAACATAATTGTAATATAAAACTCAAACCGGGATATTCCAGCAACAGCTCTACCTGATTTTGGACAGTAGTTCTCCTCTATCTGCACAATCCACACTGACTTGTCGAATAAGTTCATGAAATACTGTATTGTAAATGGTCTGTTCCTTCCTCAATACATGTAGTAGTTTGTGCATCTGGCAGAAGATAAGGAATATCATCAGTATTTATTACTGTCTTATCAGTAAAAAATCATTTTAGGAAGTAAATACTCTGAATGTGAATGTTTTAGAAACACCTTGATAATTTATTTCACTTATATTTTTCTTTATAAATATATCTACAAAAATGATATATTATTTTTAAAATATAAATATAAAAATATAATATATTTTTTAAAGTATGTTCAATCATGTACCTCTTTACATGATGCACTGAGAAGGTCACAGTATCACTTCTATATCATCCCCGCCAAAAATACATAACCTGAATCTAATCATGAGTACACACCAGACAAACCAAAATTGAGGAACATTCTACAGAATAACTGGCATATGTTCTTCCAAATATCAATGTCAAGAAAAACAAGGAACTGTTTCAGAATATAGTTGTCTAAAGGAACATGACACATAAAAGCACTATGTGATCCCGGGATCCTGAAACAAAGGGGACAAGAGCTATAAAAACCATTATAGGTACAACTGATAAAATTTGAAATTTGAATATGGACAGGTAATACCAACACATCAATGTTAAATTTCCTGATTTTGATTAACTATATTATGGATATATTAGAGAATATCCTTATCCATAGGAAACATACCCTGTAATGTTTGCATGATGTCACCAGCTTACTGTAAAATGGTTAGGAAAAACTATACATATAGAGATATGTATGTAAAGAGGAAGAGAGAATGATAAAGCAAGTAGGGCACAATGTAAACTATTAGTGAATCTGGGTAAAGCTTACATAGGAATGCCTTATACTGAACTTGTCTTTAAGTTTCAAATTCTGTAAAAATAAAAATTTACAAAACAAAAGAGGAAGAGCCCTCATAAAGAAAAATATCTGTATCTCTGTAAGGTTGAAAGAGCTTTTTCATTAATGAAATAAAAATTTTAAGAGGTAAGAAAGCATGGTTTAATTGGCAGTGTTTTTTAGTGGTACATAAAATAATAAAGGTCTTATAATCAATGGTACTTTATAGTCAATGAAATATGGTAATAATAATACCAACAATTATACAGTGTTTGCTACATGCCCAGCACTATTCTAAGCCCTTTATATTCATATGTCATTTAATCTCCACAACAACCCTATGAGGTAGGTATTATTATTACCTCTAATTTAAAGATGAGTAAATTGAGACACAAATACATTGAGTTGCCCAAGGTCACTAGCTAATAAATGGCAGGGCCAGGATTCTAATCCAGACATTCTGGCTCCAGAATGCATGCTCTCAACCACTAGGTTACATTGATCTTTGCAATTACCTTGGTTGGCCCTGTATATTCCTGATTTTCCACACCAGTCCTCTCTAGCATAGCATCCATCACATCATTCAGCTGGACCACTTCTACTCTTTTATTAGGTTTCCTAAAAGATTAAGGTGACAGACTTATGTAATTAAGTGTTGTAAGAGGTTATCCTCAAATGACAAAAAGAATATAATATATACAAAATGTATATACTATGGAATATTAATGGGTTTTTTTTTTTTTTTTTTTTAGAGAGAGCGAGCTGGAGGAGGAAGGACAAAGGGAGAGGGAGAGAAGCCCCAAGCAAACTCCCCATTGAGTGTGGAGCCCAACCTAGGGCTCAATCCCAGGACCCGAAGATCATGACCTGAGTGAAACCAAGAGGTCACCCAACGGACTGAGCCACCCAGGTGCCCATGGAATATTAATGGTATTTCAAAGCATTAGCCCTGTATGTACTGATCTAGTGGATTATAGCAGTAATAAAATTTTTAAAAAAAGAAAAAGGGAGGTGCCTGGGTGGCTCAGTCGTTTAGCATCTGCCTTCGGCTCAGGTCATGATCCCAGGATCCTGGGATCGAGCCCCGCATCGGGCTCCCCACTCTGCGGGAAGCCTGCTTCTCCCTCTCCCACTCCCCCTGCTTGTGTTCCCTCTCGCTATGTCTCTCTCTGTCAAATAAATAAATAAAATCTTTAAAAAATAAAAAAGAAAAGGAAAATGTAAATAGTATGATCCTCTTTGTAAATAAAATAATGCTTCCTTCCAAAAATTCTATATACCTAGTGTGCAGGATTGTAAAAACATAGAAGAAATATGGAGAGATAAATACCAAGCTGTTAGTATTGGTTACTTCACAATGTAAGTATGTAAGTGAAGAAAAAGGACAATGGAGAGATAAGAGAAAAAAAAAAGACTGTAGCAAACAATCTGCTGTACAACATTGTGCCTAGATTGAATGATACTGTATTGAAAACTTAAAAATTTGTTAAGAAGACAGATTTCATGTTAAGTGTTCCTACCACAACAAAATAAAATTTTAGAAAAAAAAAATTTTTTTAGTACTTTTTAGTATAAAAAAAATTTTATAGTACTTAAATATTATTATAAATATGTGAAAATTGAAAACACTGATTAGATGATGGAATTGTGGACACTTATTATCTTGGGTTTCTGCTATAATTTTAATATTTTCTATGCAATAAAGTACTAAAAAATACATATGTATATTAAAATACATATTCATATGTATATGTTCCTTCTGAGAAATACTTTCAAAAATAAACTGTACTTACATGGATGGGAAGAGCAATAGCCTGTTTTCACTATCTGTGAGGAGAGTAGTATATTTGCTGCAATAAATAAGACAGATAAATATTATTGTAAGAAAATTAACTGGCCTGTTTATCACATATCACAACATGATAAACCTAAGACCTCAAAAATTGGGAAGCTTGGAGGCAATCGAAAAGGTCTATCATTTTACCCACAAGATCATACCAAGGCATCTACAGACACAGATGTAATGACATTTATCATATTTGGAATATTTTTAGTAAAGAAGTTTTTTTTTAAAGATTTTTTTTTTTTTTTATTTGAGAGAGAAAGAATGAGAAAGAACACATAAGAGGGGGTAGGGTCAGAGGGCAAAGCAGACTCCCTGCCGAGCAGGGAGCCCGATGCGGGACTCGATCCAGGGACTCCAGGATCATGACCTGAGCCGAAGGCAGTC